CTATTTTCATGGAATATCTTTTTCTTGTGTCTTTGGATCTAAAGTGAGTCTTTTGTAGACAGCACATAATTGGATCATGTTTTTAAATTTTATTTTGCCAATCTTTGTCTTTTAGTTGAACAGTTTAATCTATTTACATTTAAAGTAATTACCGATACCATTTGGTATACCATTTTGATACCATTTCTGTATGCCTTTTTGTTCCTCATTTCCTGTATCATTGTCTTCTTTTGTGTTTAGTTGACTTTTTGCAGTGAAATTTTTAGATTCCTTTCTCATGTCCTTTTGTGTGTATATCCTATAGCTATTTTTCTTTATGGTTACCATGAGAATTACACTTAACATCCTAAAATTATAGCACTCTAATGTGAATTTATATGTTTAACTTCAGTTAACATACAGAAACTCTGCTCTTTTAGAATTTCATCCTTACCTGTTTTCAGTTGTTGATGTCACAAAATTACATATTTATACACTGTGTGTCCCAAAACATAAACTAATAATTATTTTAAATGCATATCTCATAAATTATGTAGAAAAAAATGTGGTTACAAACCAAAGTTAACAATAATACTGGCTTTTAGACTAATTGTCTTTTTAAATATATTAATCTTCTAAATCACGTAGAAACCAAAAGGTAGAGTTACAGAGACAGAGAAACCACTGTTGCAGTATTACTAGATGTATTTATTATTATTGAGATATTTATTTCTTCATATGGTTTTGAGTTACTGTCTGTAGTCCTTTCATTTCACCTTGTAAGATTCCCTTAAGCATTTCTTGTAGGGCAAGTCTGGTGGTAATGGACCCCCTCAGCTTTTGTCTGGGAATATCTTAATTTCCTCCTCACTTTAGAAGGATAGTTTTTCAGGGTATAGGATTATTGGTTGATAGGTTTTTTTTTTTTTTTCTTTTATATATTGGCCCTTTGGTGCTTTTTATATATTGGCCCTTTGCCTCTGGCCTCCAAAGTTTTTGATGAAAAAATCTGTTGATTATATTATTGAGCATCTCTTGTACATGAAAAGTTACTTCATTCTCACTGCTCACAGAGATTCTTTGTCTCTGTTTTTCTTAAGTTTTATTATAATGTATCTCCGTGGGTCTGTTTCACTGTATCTTCTTGGAGTTCATTGAGCTTTTTTGGATGTTTATGTCTTTCATTAAGTTTGGGATGTTTTCAGCCATTATTTCTTCAAATATTCTCTCTGCTGCTTTCTCTCTCTCCCCTCTCTTGTATGTTGATCCACTTCATGGCACCTTACAAGTCCCTTAGGCTCTGTTCACTTTTCTTCAATCTTTTTTATTTTTGTTTCTTAAACTTGATAATTTCCACTGTCCTATCTTCAGATTCACTGATTCTTTCTTTTGCCAGCTCAAATCTGCCTTTGAATTTATCTAGTGAATCATTTCATTTCAGTTATTGTACTTTTCAGCTTCAGAATTTCTTTTTGGCTGCTTTTTGGGTTTTCTAACTCTTTAAAGTCTTTGTTTAGTAGATCTGCCATCAAGTCTTTTCCAGGGACAATTTCTATTGACTTATTTTTTTTCCCTTTGAATGGGCCATATTTTCTGTTTATTTGTATGCCTTGTGATTTTTTGTTGTTGTTGAAAATTGGACATTGAATATAATAATATGATAACTCTAGAAATCAGATTCTTTCCCTTTCTGAGGATTTGCTGTTGTTCGTTATGTTTTTGCCTATTGTTTTTGGATTTTGGATTGTTGTAGGCTGTCTCTGTGCTAAAGATCAGCCTTAGGTGTATACTTAGGGTCTTTTCAGGTTTTTGCCGAGCCTATGCTTTTCCCTGGGTGTGCATGTTCACTTTCTAATTTTCCCTGCTTACGCAGTTGTTTGAATGTCTTAATCTTTATTGTCTGGCTTCCAAAAGAGGAAAAAGAGAAAAAGGAAGGGAGTAAAATGGGCATTGATCCTTAAATCCTCTGGAAATCACTTCTGCTGGAAAGTTAGGGGCTTGCAACTTTGTGGGGAAGTGCAGCAACAATGGCTGCGTGTCTCTTTGTGCTTCTGTGATCAGAACAGCAATTGGTGATCAGAGAACAGATTCCTGATATTTGGAGGACAGGATCCTTTTTGCCCACTCCTGCAATTAAGAGCAAGCTGCTCCAGTAGCATGTGCATGGCTGCCTGCTGTGGGGTTAGAGGGTGGTAACTACTACTATGCTAAGAGCTGAAATTGATCAAAATTAGCCTCGGTTTACAGTCCAAGCCTTCCTCTGGAAGTTGCAAACCTTCAGTTGACTCCAGAGTTCCAAAATAGTTACATCAGACAGAGGCTGCCAGTGCACATGTTATCTAGATGGGGAGATAGATTCCTGGTGCTTCTTACTCTGCCATCTTCCCAGAATCCTCTCCTTGAGCCTTTTGGGAATTCATGGGTAAATTGGTTCTCAACTTGCCCTGCTACCTGCTTAGAACTCATTTTTCTCAGGTCTCCTAAGGCCTTTCCTACTTTTCTGTCAGCTTTTGGTATTCAAGTTTGTGTTCCTGTTCTTTTTTTCCATCCTCCCTGGCCTCGTGGATTTATGTCTTTATTAAAAGGCATAAATATTTATTGTTTTAGTGGGGTTTGGGAAGGGAGTGAAAAATAGGTGACTGTGTGCAGTCTTTATCTGGGAGTTTGATATTTTTATATGCACTTGTCTTATCTCCTTCAAGTAGACTGCAAACTCCCTGATTTAGCTTGAGTTAGGGATATAACTCCTTAAATCCCTCTCAGCAGCTAACTTCTTTCCAAGTAGTGTATCATATTCTGTTGTTTGACTTGTTAAGTAAGGCAGCGATGCTAACTGATTGGTGTGTGTAACATATTGGTAATCATTCTAATCCTGAGGCAATTATTAATTTACTGTGTCCTAGAGAAGCCATTTATATATCCCTGTGTTAGTTCCATTTTCGCATATTGAGAATGATTGATACTCTCATCACTAATGGGCATTAAATTAATGCTTTTTAGTGTGAAAATGTTCTATGTATGTAGCTTATCGATGGTCAATTCCATTGTCTTAATTGCATGTATGTTTCATTTCATTGGGAATTTCTTGGGGTTACAATCACTGATGAGTAGAAATGAAGATGGAAATGAGAAAAAGCCACTCATGATATTTGTTTACCTTCCTTTCCTTCGTTGTTCTTTCTATTAATTAATACATTCATCAATAAAATACTAATCAAACTTCTCCTAATCTGATGTAATGCTCT